TCTCGAAGCACTTCATGATGACTGGGGTGAGTGCGACGGGGCGACAGTCATTTGGGCATGTTACCTTGTATTTCTTGGGCACTGGGACGATGGTGGTCTCTTTGAAGCAGGTGAGGACGACAGCCTGGGACAGGGACAGGTTGAAGATGTCCGAGAAGACGCCCGCCAGCTGGTCTGAGGACGTGACCAGGGATGCCATCTGGGCCGGCGGCTTTATGACTATTCACTCTTTTGAGAGTTTTCCTCACGTCAGCCTTGGAGAACGAGAGCAGTGAGAGTCTTCCTGGATGGCTTGGTATTGTCTACCTCGAAGCAAGCATAGAATGTGTTAAGCTCATTTGGGAGGGAGGCTTCAGTTGGCACCACACAGCTGGATTTGCCTTTGTAGTCTGTGACCTATCATCGTTTAACTTCCTCCTCTCTAATTGTATCCGCTCCTAAAGCCACTTTCAATCTCACTAAATTTCAAGCTTCTGCCTCTAACCCTTTTCCATCTTCTCCTCCCACCTTAATCCACCCACTTCCCCTCCCTCCTCCCTCTCTGCGGACGACTTTGTCAACCATTTTGAAAAGAAGGTTTACGACATCCGCTCCTCATTCACTCAGCCTATTGAATCCACTGGTCCCACCCACACAGAACTACTCTACGCCTTGACCTCTTTCTCCCTTCTCTCTCCAGATGAAATCCTGTGACTACTGCGGTCCGGCCGCTCGACAACCTGCCCACACGACTCCATCTCCTCCTCCCTTCTCTAGACCATCTCTGGAGACCTTCTCCCATTCCTCACTTAACTCATCCCTGACCACTAGTTGTGTCCCCTCTGACTTCAAAATAGCCCGAATCTCTCCTCTCTTCAAGAAACCAACACTCAACAGACCAGTCTCCCTTCTTTCTTTTCTTTCCAAAACACTTGAGCGTGCTGTCTCTGACCAACTCTTTCGCTATCTCTCTCAGAATGACCTTCTTGACCCTAACCAGTCAGGCTTCAAACCGAGACTGCTCTACAACATCCATAGAGTACGACCCTACCTCACACGGGAAGTGGCGCAGGTCCTAATCCAGGCACTTGTCATCTCCCGTCTGGACTACTGCAACTCGCTGTTGGCTGGGCTTCCCACTTTTACCATTGAACCCAACTTATCCAGAAAGCTACAGCCCGCCTGGTGTTCAACCTTCCCAAGTTCTCCATATCACCCCCCTCCTCCGCAAACTCCACTGGCTTCCAGTCGAAGCTCGTATCCACTACAAGACCATGGTACTTGCCATTCGGAGCAGCAAGAGGAACTGCCCCTCCCTACCTTCAGGCTATGCTCAAACCCTAATCACACAGCAAAAAAAAACATATTTAACCTTCATTTAACCAGGAAAAGACACTTGACGTTAGAAATCTATTTTGCAAGGGGGGACCTGGCAAGAGATCCGCAGGAAGAAATCAGCAGGAAGAAGTCAGCGTGTACATACAACACACAATACAGTACATTAAAAACAATTACAATGGTCAGTGACATTTTCTTCGATCAGAGCTTTAAACTCAGACAGCAATACCCTCTCCTCCAGTTTTAAAGTATTTCTTAGTTCGTTCCAGGACCAAAGTATTTAGACCGCTTGAATTTTCCAAATTTTGTTACGTTACAGCCTTCTTCTAAAATTGATTAAATTGTTTTTTCCCCCCTCATCAATCTATACACAATACCCCATAATGACAAAGCAAAAACAAGTTTTTATACATTTTTGCAAAAAAACTAAAACTGAAAACTGAAATATCACATTTACATAAGTATTCAGACCCTTTACTTAGTACTTTGTTGAAGTAACTTTGGCAGCGATTACAGCCTCGAGTCTTCTTGGGTATGACGCTACAAGCTTGGCACACCTGTATTTGGGGAGTTTCTTCCATTCTTCTCTGCAGATCCTCTCAAGCTCTGTCAGGTTGGAAGGGGAGTGTCGCTGCACAGCTATTTTTAAGTCTCTCCAGAGATGTTCGATTGGGTTCAAGTCCGGGCTCTGCACGTCTCTGTATGTGTGTGTGTGTGTCGACATGCACGTGTGTGTATGCGTGAAAGAAAAGTAAGATACCAAAAGCTTCAGGTGAGAAATAAAAAATATGAGCATATTTATTACAGCAACATGAAGGACTTTAGAACAAGCGCATAGAAATCTGCCATGATAAATATAATGGGGCCAAGGGCAGGAAGGAAGAGAGACCAGGGAGAGCGAGAGAACAATCTCACAAGGAATCAGTCTGGGAACATTTAATGAACCGGCCTGGCTGGGGGTAGAAGTCTTCACTAACAAATATCTAGGATCAGCTTACTATTTCCATATCCTAACTTTAACTGTTAGGGGGGAACACAAAACTGACCTTTGAACAGTGTCTAAGGGCAACTTTATCCATCCAAATGAAAGGGCTCAGAGCCTGGCTGAGGTTCAAGGGTCATGAGATAGGGGTCAAAGGTTATGATGTCTGGTTGGGGAGTGATTGATTATCTTACCAAACGAGGACAATTTCAAAGTGTAAATTGATGAGTACTGACAGACAGGTAACCTTCAACTGGTCACCACTGTCCTGCAGTATTTAGCTTTTTTGAATTTGAATGAACGGACGCAATATGCTGTCCTTTGTTGAATATTTGAGTCTAATTGATGACACCGCAAAAGGCTGCTGGCAATTCAATCCATTTACTATAACGAATACATCCTTTGCTGGTAGCGCATCATTATTAGAGACACCTTCAGAGACACATTGGAAAGACAAAGGTTAATTCAGCTGTTTAGATTTGCTAATCTCCATCGTGTGTGGGAGGCATTGGAACACTTACGAAGGGAATAATCCTAACTTCTCTCTGCTATACAGCGACCACCATGTTCAGACAGGTATACCAACAGGTACAATTCCTAAACCAAAACAAACACGAACAGTTTACTTTCTAATGTATTTTCCAATACAGCTTCCAATAAACTGGTGGTTGATTTACAGCAGCAGTATAGAGTTTTATGTATACTATTTTTTAAAGAACCAAAACAGAGGTGCTAACAGCCTGGGGGTTTTCAGTTATAAAACCAGATATTTTCTGTGACGTCACCTCGGGGAAACAGATAAATACTATATACAGATTTACTCATAACACCGCATCTATTGGGATCAGGGGAGAAGGGGAACAGAAACATAGCACAGTAAATAAGGCATCTAAAAGTCGAGCGTCCTCAGGTCGACGGCCGAGTGAAAACTGCAGTCCCTGTCACCTGTTAATCAAAGACTGAAACGTAATACCCATGCTACGTAACGTACATTCCATAGAGCAGGTCAACGAATCACACGCTGCCTATCTCCTATGACCCGCCTCCGCAAGAAAAAATGCCAGATTTCTCTCCTTCAGAATAAAAGTACATCATTACCATCATCATCACCATTATTGTTACAAACATTCTAGAGTTTCAAATCAACTCTGTACATATTTTACAGTATGGTACAATGGTATATATGTTGGTGCGTTTGTTGTCCAGTCAGGTAGCAGAATAACACTGTTATCATAAACATAACCAGGTACATACAGGGGTGCAGTGCACAATGACGGCCATATTAAATCAAAACCGCTAGCTGGATTTCCTAGATAAGTCCAAAACTTCACTCTTCCCTCCCCAAATTGAGAGGGAATGTTGGTTTTGATATGCAGTAGAATTTCCTTTGTTTCACATTGTAAATATTGTTTTGTTGAGTACAGGACATTTATGTTTTTCACTTATCCAGGAAATGACGTTAGCAGGTTTGCTTGAATAGGGCCTTGACTCTTGTAGATTTGGAAGCAGTTGGCATTACTGAACAGAGGTGGTTAGCACAAACTGTGAATGAACCCATATTAATCAGGGGTGAAATTAGGCAAAAACATCACTCACCACAGTCTACTCAAGTCAAGTCTACCTCACAACCAAGACTGCTTGTCTGACTTTTCCCAACATTTCAGAGCAATGCTAACTGTACATGGCAGAACGTCTGAGAAACAGATACACATTCCAAACAGTGTCAACTTCACACATACAAGGTTATCTACTTCTCTGCGCTTCTGTCACAAACCGTTATAGCTTCTCCAACTGAGGAGGCCAACTCTTGGAAGATAATGTGCTAACACTGTATTGTACTGCAGATTTCTTACTGCCGGCATCCTATACGTTGCTGCTGTAGGCTGTACTAAATGAAAAATGGTAGGGCATCTTATTCAAGTGAACTGTGTGTGTCTGGAAGCAGTGGCTATGGAAGCCCTATCTATTCCTGGCCAAACGGAACGGAAGTCTTCTGAGACCATAAACAGACATCTCCATCTCATATTTTCACATCTCTCTATTTCTCCTATCTCCCTCACACATCCATGAAACGTCTAATAGCGTCCTCGGGGAGGGGCTTATAGGAAGGGGAGGGGCCTGGAAACACATGCACCAGGAAGGAACACCCCACCTGCGTTGCCTGACGACTGATACAAACTTTACGTTCAGTTCTAGACTTGCGGACTGACACATAGCTCTTGTAAACATTTATCTATACATATATAATATCTCCTGGCACCGTAAACTGTGTAGAAAATAAAAAAACAGCTAATCGTAAAACGAAAAACAAAACAACCATAAAAACAACTGTACACTAAACTTCACAGACAGTGATGATAATTACAATCAACTTATTTTTTTATTTTTTTTATTGTTGTTGTTCTTGTTGATATGGTCTGAGACGTCTTGGATGTAGCCTGGTTTCTGAGGTTGCTGGGTTGCTAAGCCTCTAAGTGCGAGGACAGAAGCTGGAAGTGCCTACACTATCAAAACATCCAGGACGGGTGGAATGGTGAAGCTGCGAAGAGGAAGTAAAGGAGCCGAGCGTCCATTACGGCTCCATCTAAGTGTTTTTGTATGGGGAAACCCAACCCAAGATGTCTATGTCGGCTTAATCTCAGAGCAGAGCGTCCATTTTGGCCCTCCCTCTCTGTGTGTCTCTATGGGGAAACTGTTATACTTGGATGTGGGTCCCCTGGGTCTGCAGGCTCTGGACACTGGAGAGGATCTTCTTCTGGTGACCCGCCAAAGTCACATCCATCTTAACGAGCTCACTACAGAAGAGGACAGAGCAAAAAGGGAGTTAGAAAAACGCGAAACAGCTGCAACAACAGACTCCCCTTTCCCCAACTCAGCTCAGCCCAGCCTCAGCTCAGCCCTGCTCAGTCCAGCCCTGCCCAGCTCAGTCCAGCCCAGCTCAGTCCAGCCCTGCCCATGTCTCTCACCTGATGCTGATGTAGAGGACAGAGTCCAGGGTGACGTATCCAGCGCTGGAGAAGTTCTCCTTGTAATGGTCCATCTTGATGGCCTCCAGCCACTCCTCCACCGTACTCACACTAAACTCTGGAGTGGTTGGGTCTTCCCTGCTGGGCAAACAGGAGAGAATATACACATTCTTATCAGCATAGTTAAATATCACAAACAGTCCAGATACTAGTTCTAATAGTTTATTCTGGATCTGACAGTGTGTGCCTGAAGACTGAGTTTTTGACCCATTGTAACTCACCATACTGAGCTGTTGGCCAGCTCTCGGAGTCTGGCTGGGTTTCTGATCAGCTTGTCCAGGGTGGTGACGATCTGGCCAAACTTGGGCCGTTCGCTGCGGCCCTTCTCCCAGCAGTCCAACATCAGCTGGTGGAGGACAACAGGACAGTCCATAGGGGCCGGAAGACGGTATCCCTCATCTATCGCTTTTATCACCTGGAAATTGGGGGAGGGAGAGAGAGAGAGACATAGAGGCGGATTAGATAGACCCTAGTCAATCACAATAATTGTCATCATAATAATGCTAGTCCACTGAGGATGGGAGAGAAAGCCAACTGAGTCCATCTAGCTTCCGCACAAAACAAACCCACGATTGACAAGAACAGCCATCAATAGCAAATAATTGATGAATATATACCATATCAGCTATACACTGTGCTTTATCATAATGAAACTACTCACATCCTGGTTGGACATCTCCCAGTAAGGTCTCTCTCCGTATGAGACCACCTCCCACATGACGATGCCGTAGCTCCACACGTCACTGGCTGACGTGAACTTCCTGTAGGCAATGGCCTCTGGAGACGTCCATCGGATGGGGATCTTTCCTCCCTGGAAGGGTTAATAACAGGTTTATAAAGGGTTAATAATACATTTAGAAAGGGTTAATAAAACATTACTGAAAGGTTAATACAAGATTTACAAACTACTACTATTCATGACTTTCTGCTTTGACCATATGTACCAATTCAACTCATTGAATTCCGTTGAAAGAGAGAGAGGAACAATACACGTTGTGGGGGCGTAGGTAGGAAAGCTCAAAGAACTGCACGGAAACACAGAATAGAGTAGTCATAGGGATGTACCTCATTATATTCATTGATTAAAACACAAACCCAAAGCATGTCTTTCTATTCACACAATAACAGGGAACACAGTAGTGCTTTGACTTCACTCCTCCATCTGTCCTCTTTCACTGGGCTTTCACAAGCCTTTTTTCCTTTGTTGTTCAGGAGGAAAATAAGGATCAAAGGAGTGTATATGGAGTAGGTGCAGCAGAAAACAGGCCTTTAAAAGGCATTGGGACTGACTGTGTATAAGGAGGACAGAGGAGACAGCATTAAGATGCCTGGTTGGCTCCCTATACAGATCACACCAGTCTTAATATGCTGCTACTGTTGCACCCCTACTAGTCCCAGCTCTCTGGTCAAAGTCAAATGAAAGAGACAAAGTAAGAAGTCCCCCCCCACCCCTCTTTCTTTTTCTCTCTCCCTCTCTAACCCTCCCCTCTCTCTTCATTTCACTCCACTCTTTCTCTCTGTCTTTCTTACTCTCTCTATCTTCCCTCCCTCTCTCTCTCTCTCTCTCTCTCTCTCTCTCTCTCTTCTCTCTCTCTCTCTCTCTCTCTCTCTCTCTCTCTCTCTATCCCTCCCTCTATGGCCTGTAGATCTATGTGTGTGTGTAGATGTACAGTATCTACCAGCGTGTGACTGACACATTAGCTGAGTAATTACAGATCTCTAAACTTCCTTTTTTATCCAAGATTTTAGACAAAGTTGTTTTCAAGCAATTTGTGGCTTATTTGAGTATGAACAATTTATTTGAAAAATTCCAGTCGGGCTTCCACTCACTTCACAGCATGGAAACTGCTTTATTGAAAGTCAGTAATGACCTTCTGTTGGCTGCCGATGCCGGTGAATGCTCCATTCTAGTTCTTTTGGATCTCAGTGCAGCGTTTGATACTATTGATCAGAACATCCTTGCTGACCGTCTGGAAAGGTGAGTGGGAATCTCCGGCGTTGCCATCGACTGGTTCAGGTCATATCTATGTAGCAGACGTTTCTCAATGAGCATGCATGGATGGTTCAGTATCATCCCCAGCATCTATTCACTATGGTGTCCCTCAGGGGTAAATTCTGGGGCCCATCCTTTTTTCCCTGTACATGCTTCCCCTTGGTGACGTCATCCGCAATCATAACATCCAGTTTCACTGCTATGTGGATGACACGCAGCTTTCTTACCAATCAGACCCAGTGACCAAGCTAGCGTAGCTTCCCTTCACAAGTGTCTTGCTGACATCAAATGTTGGATGTCTGACACATTTCTCCACCTCAATGATAAGAAATCAGAGGTTGTTTTATTTGGCCCCTACCTTGCTAGATCCCAGATTGTAAATAACCTTGGATATTTGTCCACCAATGTAAAGCCTACAGCCAGAAACCTTGGCGTGGTCATTGACCCTGACCTAAACCTCTAGCTTTATGTAAAGAAGGTTGTCCAGTCCTGCTTTTATCATTTAAGAAATATAGCTAGTGAAGTATTTTATTTCAGTCACTGATCTGGAGAAAGTTATACATAATTTTATTTCCTCACACCTAGATTACTGTTACCCTTTGTACTGTATACGTCTCAGTCAGAAATCACTCCATCGTCTACAGTTAGTTCAAAATGCTGCAGCTTGGCTTTTAACAGGCACCAGAAAATGTAACCATATCACACCTACAGTGCCTTCAGAAAGTATTCACACCCCTTCAATTTTTCCACATTTTCTTGTGTTACAGCCTGAATTTTACAATTGATTACATTTAGATTTTGTGTCACTGATCTACACATAATACCGCATAATGTCAACGTGGAATTTTGTTTGTAGAACGTTTGAGAAATTAATAAAAAATGTAAAGTTGAAATGTCTAGAGTCAATAAGTATTTAACCCCTTTGTTATGGCAAGCCTAACAAAAAATGTGCTTAACAAATCGCATAATAAATTGCATGGACTCATTCCATATTTAATAATAGTGGTTAACATGATTTTTGAATGACTACACCATCTCTGTACCCCACACATACAAGTATCTGTAAGGTCCCTCAATCGAGTAGTGAATTTCAAGCACAGATTCAACCTCAAAGACCAGGGAGGTTTTTCAATGCCTCGCAAAGAAGAGCACCGATTGGTAGTGTAAAAAAAACGCAGACATTGAATATCCCTTTGAGCATGAAGTTGAAGTTGTTAATTACCCTTAGGTTGGTGTATCAATATACCCAGTCACTAAAAAGATACAGGCGTCCTTCCTAACCCAGTTGCCAGAGAGAAAGGAACCCGCTCAGGGATTTCACCATGAGGCGAATGGTGACTTTAAAACAGGAGATAGGAGAAAACTGAGGATGGATCAACAACATTATAGTTACTCCACAATACTAACCTAATTGACAGAGTGAAAAGAAGGAAGCCTGTACAGAATACAAATATTCCAAAACATTCATCCTGTTTGCATCAAGGCACTAAAGTTATACTGCAAAAAATGTGGCAAAACAATTAACTGTTTGTCCTGAACACAAAGTGTTATGTTTTGGTAACTCCAATACAAAACATTACAGAGTACCACTCTCCATATTTTCAAGCATAGTGGTTGCTGCATCATGTTATGGGTATGCTTGTAATCATTAAGGACTGGGGAGTTTTTCAGGATAGAAAATAAACAGAATGGAGCTAAGCAAAACCTGGTTCAGTCTGCTTTCCACCAGACACTGGGAGATGAATTCACCTTTCAGCATGACAATAACCTAAAACACAAGGCCAAATCTACACTGGAGTTGCTTACCAAGAAGACAGTGAATATGGCTGAGCTAAATTTTTGACTTAAATCTACATCAAAGTCTTATGGCAAGACCTGAAAATGGTTGTCTAGCAATGATCAACAACCAATTTGCTTACCAAGAAGACAGTGAATGTGTCCGAGTTACAGTTTTGACTTAAATCTACTTGAAAATCTATGGCAAGACCTGAAAATGGTTGTCTATAAATGATCAACAACCAATTTGACAGAGCTTGAACATTTTTGAAAATAATAATGGGCAAATGTTGCACAATTCAGGAGTAGAAAGCTCTTACGAGACTTACCCAGAAAGACTCACAGCTGTAATCGCCGCCAAAGGTGCTTCCACAAAGTACTGACTCAGGGGTGTGAATATTTATGTAAATGAGATATTTCTGTATTTCATGTTCAATAAATGTACTAACATTTCTAAAAACATGTTTTCACTTTGTCATTATGGGGTAGTGTGTGTAGATGGGTGAGGAAATATATATACATTTAATCCATTTTGAATTCAGGCTGTAACACAACAAAATGTGGAATAAATCAAGGAGTATGAATACTTTCTGAAGGCACTGTAGCTAGATCTATATGCTTATCCAGTCCTTTTATATCTTCGTGAAGTGCCAAGGAGGTAGGGGGTAAGGGGTCGATTCTGGCATTGGGCTTTAGTATAATCATACTCTTTTTATCTCTGGGGAATGAGGGGCGAGGAGTAGGGGAGTGAGTGGTGAGTTAGAAAGGTGAGAAAAACAAAAGCTTTTTCTCTGACAAACCTGCAATTATCCCAATGGGAGGACAAGGGGCACTGTTAGACTAACAGAGATTGACAAGCTCTTTCACGCGGGATTTCTCAACCTCTCTCTCTTTCTCTCACACAAGAGGAAGGGAGTAAGGGGCATTAGGAACGGAAGGAGTGAGGGGGGAGAGAGGAAAGTAGAGAGAAGTGAAAAGGGGAAAGGCTAGTGAGTGAGGAGTAAGGGGGAGAGGGGGGATGAGGGTTGAGGTGAAAAAGGGGATGTGAGATGTGAGAGGAGAAATACATTTTCTCAGACAAACCTGCAATTACCGCATATTTGGACGACAGGGGCACTGACATGGGCTGACAAGCTCTCTACTTCTCCTTCTCCTTCTCGCAATCTCTCTCTTTCTCTCCATCTTCCTACTCTTCTCTCTCAGTCACTCAACCTCACAAACATACAGTAGGCTACAAAATTGATGAAAATCCCATCCTTTCATTGATCATTGATAAATATCCCTGAATCCAATCCTTTCAGATCTACAAAGGCTGTGTTTACACAGGTAGCCCAATTCAGATATTGTTTTCCCCACTAATTGGTCTTTTGAAAAATCAGATCAGCTCTGAAAAATATGTGATGTAAAAAGATCTGATGTGATTGGTCAAAAGACCGATGAGTGAAAAATAAAATCAGAATTGGGCTGCCTGTGTAAACAAAGCCTTTGTAGATCTGAAATGATTGGATTGGGGAAAATTCCACCTAGGCCTATCAGTACAAATACCAAATTGCTTATACCCAGAGCCATATATAGCTAGATCTACTGTACAGTATATGCATATCCAGTTATTTTATATATTCATGGAGTGCCAAGGGGGTAGGGGGTAAGGGTCTAACCAAATTCCAATTGTACCATCCTGTATCAGTCTGATTTAATAGCTATTCCTTACCTAACATGACGGTAATAGTAGCACATCTCATTTATAATACAAAAAAAAAAAAAAAAACCTGTTTTGTGGTGTGGGTGTCTTACCCGTTGTGTAGTGCAGCTCACATGTGTCATCCTCCAGTACTCGTGACGGCCCGAAGTCAAGACCACCGTTACACACCCAGGTTGCTGGTGACCATGGAGATGTTTGCGGATGCGGCGGCCAGGTCTCGGGGTGAACGTAGCTCCTGTCTACAGGTACTTCATGCCCGACGCGATGCCAGCTCAAATGCCCACCAACTGGATCACTGTTGACTGACCTTCTGTTTTCTAACAGAGAGAGAGGGCGAGAG